TTTTTTTTTTTTTTTTTTTTTTTTTTTTTTTTTTTTTTTTTTTTTTTTTTTTGGGTTCGTTTGTGTTGATTGATGCATTTACCTGAGTAGAACTGTCGCCGTTTCAGGCACGCGGAATACCTGAAAATATTTAACATGCTCATTGCTTTGTTTCGAGTAGCGAATTTGTATGTTTTTTTTTTTATAGATTTGTAAACTTTTTTCTTTGCAATTGCTACAGCATTATTTTCATAGCATGATAACAACGAAACACATATATAATAATGTATATATGTGTGTATTTCTTTTTTATATGTATACCATTTAACAGTACTTACAACTGCCGCAGGTAAAAGCCCAGAATATATATATATAGCCTTATAGCTAAAAAAAAAAGGTGTGTAAATTTCTATAGCTGAGCAAAACTCACCTTCCATCCCAGATTCTCAAAGAACGTGCATAGACGACTCTGGCCAGTTGTTTTTCCACCGCATGGACCTGTCGAATAAAATAATAATAACAAACAACAAAAAAAAAAAAACGTGAATTAATGCACTTGAATAGCTTTCGTCTCAATTATTATTGCATTGCCTGACTGGCCCTGACTGTACAATTAAAATTGTTGCATCTGTCGCTTGTGTGCAGCGATGAGGAAATTAAATGTAAATTTCAATTGATTTGAACTATAGGAATTTCTGGGTGATACAGATTGCGAATTGAACTCATTGATGAGTCTTGAACCTTGTCGACAAGTTTAACTATAAAATGTATAAATTTACATAAGGAAAGGACTTAACTATCGATTACAATTTAAACAAAATGATCTGGAGCCAACCTTATGTTACTATCGATAACTAACTTCAATTTCCAATTGGTTCATATTTACATAAATGTTACTGAGACTTTGAATGCCGACTATTGTACTGTCTTCTGTTTCTTTAAATGTTTTGCAATACGGTATATTAAAAATGTAAGCGAACTTATAAAGGCTGTTTAAGCCCGGTGCTTTTTTTTTCAGATAAGTTATACATTTGACGTAAGCCTTTGTTTATCTACTTCTTTATAAACAGCTGTTCCTGCTGCGCCATCAGTAATTGTCATTAACTCAAAAGTTTATAAGTGCACTCATTTGCTTTAATTTTTGTATTTGATTAGACAAAACGGAAATGATACGAGCGAGGCCATATATATGTATGTATTTATATACATATAAGTAAACAATCACCTATATACCTATATAATGTAAGTATGTTTAATCAAAACTATTATGAGCCAAATTAATTGATTGATCGCCCCACGCGCAAATTTTTTTTATGATAACTGTTCTTGCTCTCGTGGCACCACAAACGGGTTTTTTTTTTGGCGCGCTTATGTGAAGTAGAGATTAACATATGTAAATTGTAAAAAGAAAAAAAAAAAACACCGGTAGAACACACAGAAGCCATAAACTAGTTAAATAAATCGATGCATTAACATATCACACAAGTGAAGCCGCTAATTGAAATTTAAATAAAAAAGAAGCAACTTTTGAATCCTTGGTGTGGGTAGCTGCGCAGGCGAATTGAAAGAAACTACCCCAACAACAGGGTCCTGGCGACCTTGACATACATATTTATATGTACACATATCGTAAACAAACAGATACAGATACAGATACAGATACAGCCACAGATACAGAAAATATTTATATATGTACATATAAAGGTTTTCACTTACCGCCAGTTAGGACAATTTTATAGACCCGAGGTTTTGTTTTTAGATTGGGCATTTCATTTAGCTTGCCAGAAGGTGATTTTACGATGCTCTCCAACTGATGCTGTTTCTGCTCCTTTTTCTTTTTTGGATTGGATTCTGAGCTTAAGGTCGTGCAGTTCTGTTGCAACATAGGTCCGACATTCAGCTTCGATTGCTGCCTATTGGTGGTCGGGACTAGGGCAGGTGCCATCACTTGGTCGGCTGTAGTTGCCATGCTTAAAGGGCGCAACAGCAACAGCTGTTCACGTCAAATGTGTCCAAGTGAGTGTGAATCCTTGCTGTACTTCCACCGTACTCTTCACTTTCTCTCTCACTTCCACGCTCTCCGTTTGAGTACACGTGCTTTTAGGTTAGAGTGCGGACGGTCTCTGTGGACTGCAAAATCATCGCGATAATACGTACAAATTTTTCATATAAACTGAAGCAATTGCGTTCTTGTTGGAGTCATTAGATTTAGTTGACTCTGCTTTATTACCGCTGTTACTTGTTGATAGTTAGAAATCCTCTGAATATTGTGCTGTTGGGCATGTCTAATGGTTCAGAAAAGACGCGGGCATTACAGAAACAATTGAATGTGCCAATTTTCCTTTTATTGTCGACTATTTATACTAAGCGAGTTGGCTTGGATAGGACGACACCCGACGACCTCGTGGCCAGACAACTGTGAATTCGTAATAAACCACATCCGAATTTATAGATATCAAAGTTTAGAAATTCTGTGATAGAACATCATCTTGCGCGTTTTCAATTTAAAGCAAAACTAATCTAACTCGACAAGCATCTAGCACACTTTATACGCCGAAACGTCTGTTACTTTTAATGTTAACTAACAGTTTGGAGCACCCTTACAAATGAAACTAGATTCGTGCTATCGATACTTATCGAATGCTCACAATAATCAGAAACAATCTAGTGATTGTTTTGTAAAAACACACACAAGCGAAAGAAAAAAATAAAACACCGTCTACTTTATTACAAATAAAACATTTTAGGTCTTCGCAACAGCGTTACCATTAAATATAAACATAAATACATATTTTATCTATTTTAGCTATCTGTTAAATTGAATAAGCTTTTGAACTAGTTCACTACCCAATGTTAAACTATCGAGTTATTAGAATAAATTACACAATATATTTTAACATTAATGTTTATAAATCAGCTTCAACGTAATACATTTTTTTTATTATTGTTTTTGTTAATACTATGGGTACTTAAGTACAAAATATATGAGCTATCATATCAGGTGCAAATAACATTGTGTCAACATTAAAAACCAAGTTAGCAGCTTTTTGACATAATATCAATATGTTGGTATTTTTGGGGTCAAATTTAGAACGCAATCCATCTTTCGATATATTTTGGGTTTATTGTGTTTCTTGAACTGCAGCTGAAATGTCGTGTGTTTGCAGTGCCTAAGCATAATCATATGTGCAATAACATCAACAACAAAACAAAGAGTTAACTAACTATATTAAGAATCTTCTTAGAGCAATCTGCTTAGAGATTTTTAAAAATATATAGCAAGAAATTGTGTGTTTAGGCAGTGCGTAAATTTTTCAACATTCACAATCATACAAAAATACATACAGACATACCTATATATACATAACGTAACATGTGTGAGCGCGAGTGAGAGCAAAACGTCAACATGACAGCAACGACAACAACAACACTAGCAACAGCAAAGTAATAAAGAGAGAGAGATAGAAACAGAGTGAGAGAGAGAGAGCCCCCAGCCAGCTGTGCAGGTCGTCGTGGTCGATTTCTGTTTTTAGGCTCCCCCAATAAGGAACAAAAATTTTCAGTCAAAATTTAGTTATTTTCATTGATCAACAGCCGATCGAGTGTCATAGAATAAATATTTTAATAAAAAATTGTTCGTTATTTAATTAATTTTGTAATACAAATTGTTATGCACATATTCAATCTGTACAAACTCAAGTGCATCATTTTACACACGCTGCGTCAGACTTGGACTTGGACATTTGTTGTATTTGTCGCCAAGCTACTAAATAATTGGTGTCGCAGACCGATCGATCGCCCGGAGCAGCCGCAGCTCCATAATAATAACAACAACAATAGCAACGTAATGGAACAGGAAATCCAAGACGAGGCGCCAGAAGCGCCAGAACAACATCAACAGGAGCAGCAACTGGATCAGAATGCCATAATCAATGCAATTATTGCAGACGAGCCAATGGATGCTAGTGATGTGGAGAACGAGGATGCTGACGACGACATCGATCTTGATGACGAGGAGGGCGATGTTGATGACGACGAGAACGATGTCAGCGATGAGGATGAATCTGATCCCGAATTGGAGGAAATGTATTCCGATAACGATTGGACCACATCGAACGATGAGAGCGAAATGTCGACAACCACATCGAACGTCGGCCTGGGACCGTTTGAGCCCATAATACCACAGTCGACGCGACCAATGTACAGCTTTCAGCCAGCGCGTTTGATCAAGTGCCAGTTTAAGGATAAGCATTGCATTGGTGGCTTTCCGCTTGGACGCAGTGGCCATCGTATCATTGCATCCAAATCGCATCTCTATTCCCTTGGTGGCTATAATCCGCGCAGTGCACTGACGGCCGCCCGGCGCGGCAGGTGTCTGCTCTTCCAGGAGCTCTGGAGCTACAATTTCGCCACAAATCACTGGACACTGGAACTGAATGCGGACAACGCCAGCAATATGCCCACAGAGCTCGCTTCCAATGCGCTTGCCATTCACAACGATGTGCTTATTGTGAGTATTGCGATAAAATTTTTTATTTGCGCCTACATATGTATGTACATATGTATGTGCTGCAGAGATTCAAATAGACAGAGAGAGAGAGAGCGAGAGATAACACAAGCTTCTAAGTCGACTAACAGTTGCTCTTTCAGTCTTGCATGTTATATTGCATGTTTACCTACGTATAACTGCGAACTATTCATTTCCAATGGGTGCAGCGTATAAAAATAGACGAAGCCTCGTGTGTGTGTGTGTGTGTGTTTATGAAAACTAACACAACTGTTGGTGTTAGTGGTGCCATTTCGCCCAGCGCCCTTGTTGCGCTCACGCTTAACTTGTTTTAGTTTGGCACAAAAGCAAGCAGCAAAACATAATCGTGGTCGTAGCCGTAATCGTTATCGTGCGACATAATTTGCATTCGTCGCATCGCTGGGCGTCGATCCGATCGACGTCAACGTCGACGTCAACGTTAGTCTCTGCCATTGTCGCTGCCTCAGCCTGGGCTCAATGCCACGCCCGACACACAACGCCACACGTTCCTCGTCCACTGTCTGCTTTGCTTGCTTGGCTCGCTTTTGCTTATCCGCTCTCGCTTTGTTTATGCATTCTAAACATTCGATTGTCTCTCGCCCCCACTACTAACAAAATACAAAACACACACATACATATATACATACTGATGTACATATGAACATGTAATAAAAGCCAAACAGCTGCGCGGTGTCCGCTGCTTATGTTGCTATCTCTTTTATGCGCATGCCCAATGCCTGTAGCTCATCCCTCTTGGCAACTACGCAGTTGTTGTTTATGCTACTGCTGCTGCTGTTGCTGTTGCTGCATGCAACAACTTGTTTACCAGGTTTTCCCACTGTCAGCGCCCCCTCTCCACGGCTACTATGAAAAGCCCCTCCACCTTCCAACATTTGGCTCCACTTTATGAGGCTGTGGCTTGCGCGCGCTTTTTCTTTTGACGTGGTTTTTTAACGTACATATATACTTATGTATGTGTGTTCGTAGATATATTTCTATGGCGTCTGATTGTCTTGTGGCTGTGACTTTTACTAGGTTTACCGTAAAATACAACTTCAGCATCCCCACCAGCATTCACCTGGGCACTTAAGTGGCCCAAATTCAATTTTCGTTGTGGAGAGACAATCAAAAATAAGAGAGGGGCCTAATTATAATAGATATGTATATAGTTTAACTATATATGTAAGTATGTGTGTATGTATATGCATGTATGTTGATACTTATATAAAAAAAGGGCAAATCAGTTTCGTCAGTTCAACCAGTCTACAGTAGAGACTGCCTAATCCGAGCTTTAAGAAAATCTCTGCAAAATAACAATATATGTACATATGTATGTATGTATAGTTAAGCCTAGCCCTGAGCAGCAGTCAAATATGAGCGAAAATATACGCATTAGACGAACTCGCATTAGTTGCGTATCACACACTTCCCCATTCTTTCTCTTGCTCTCTCTCTCTCTCTCGCTCTGTGAAGGTCAAGCTCTTTATAGAGCATGAAATGCATCGGGTGCAGTTAGCTGTAAGTTGATTGAGCGATTCTCTCCAAATTTAGAACTCTCCACACATTCACATTTCTCTAGTCATTCGCTATTCATTGTATTCAGTGCTGCCAACTTTTTACCAGAATAAAAAGCTGTTTTTAGATGGAAGAAACGGAAAAAAA